TACTGATTATAATGACTTATACTGTCTTTTTACGCGTTGCGTTGCATCGCGCCGCGTAAACATAAAACCATGTCTGCATTTGTGATCAGAGAAATGACAAACAACAAGTGCTACTGTACACTGCTCAAAAAACTCGCTTTTGAATCGTCACGCCCCTTACCATACTGTTGTATTTCCTCAGCGACCAGCACGGATCAGCTCTAGGCATGATGAAGCGGAAATCGTCCTCTTTTGGAAGGCCAACCAAAGTAGGCCAACCTTCATGACATGGCGACAATAATACTACAGCGAGAATAAAAGTTATGCCTTCTTTCTTTGCATGAACATTTGGGCGGCGTTATGCAAATCTTCCCACATAGTGACATAGACATGTGGGGGCGTGTTAGAACAAGCCGTTTTAGGTAGGCATGGTTGACTCTTAACTTTTATAAAGAATATCTCTTTGGATTTGAGACTTTAGTCTTTGCAACTTTACAGATCTTCTTTATGCACCAAGAGCTTGTAACACTCCAAAGAGAAAGGAAAAATTGAAATCGCATCATATGACCCCTTTAATATCAACAAACACATTTCACTCATAGATAATGAAAATTACCTTGTTTTGTCTGGTACAATGAATAATTCAAAACATACTGCTATTTCACCGCCAAAAGGAATTCTGCTGTTTTCCTACCTAAAAAACCCTGAGGACATCTGGACTGATACTGTGACTGTGGTGTCTATTTGTCATTTGGCATCTGTTATGCAACACTGACTCTATGTGACACACACTCTCAAGAACTAAAAACAATTAGCTAGAAATGGCACACATGCCCAAACATGATCATACAAATATCAATCTTAGGTTGACGATAGATCAGTTTAGTTTTCTGTGCATGTTTTTACATTGGATTTGACATTTGATTTCTTAGAAATCTGTTAAGTCATTTCCAATAATAAGTTAGCTGTGCTTTTGGCACTTAATAGTAAAGTTCACACAAAAAGGAAGCCGACTCCCTCCAAAAGAGGAAGACAACAACGTTTGTAATATTGGATGCCACGCATTCAAAAGCAAGCTGTCATTAAATGGAATTAGAGGGAGCGAGCGTAGAGTTACACGTCACAAAAGACTGTAAATACTTAAACACGGCTTTTGTGTTGTGTGTCATTCATTCTGGGGCTGTTGCCCTCGAGTGACTTGCAAGTCGATACAAGCTACAGTTGAAACACAAGGTGAAAGCAGGAGTTTTACCGCAAGGTAACAAACCCACACCTGTTGACGTCACAGTGGGAATGACATAGACTCACACACATTAAAGAGCAGCTTTGATGTCTGAACACAATAGTGTCCGTCTCGCCGCTGGGCTACACTGTGTTTGTACTGTGTGTCGTTTTTGTGATTATATAGCGATTCAATAGATATGTTTTAGGAAGGTATGTTTAATCCTTATAGTATCATAGCAGTTTATCATCACCTGTAAGCTATCTACATAATCTTTGTCAACATATGCAAACTGAATCATTCACTCAACCAATTCACTCAAAAACACAGATTCATTCAGGAACAGACAAGTCTGTACTTATGAGAGAATCATTGAATAATTCACTCAACCGATATATTAAAAAACATCTGCATCCCAATTAGCATACTATCCAACCTAAATGGTATTCAAGATTAGTAATCTTGAACATTATTTAGGGTGGATAGTATGCAAATTGGATTTATTCAGGAACAAACAACTCTGTCTTTATGAGTGAGTCACTGAATCAATTCACTCAACCAGTTTGTTCAATAACATTGATTCATTCAGCAATGGACAAGTCTGTCTCTTTATGAGTGAGTCATTAACACATTCACTCAACCAATTTGTTCAAAAACACTGGTTCATTCAGAAACACAAATGTGTATTGCCCGAAGACAAGTTTTTTTTAAGTTTAACTTTTTAAGAACGGCGTGTGCGAAACGTTAATGCAACAGTCAAACACATCTGTCTAGTGCAAGTTTACATAGAAAACACTGGAATTTCTTATTTGTTAAACTGTGTTATATAGAAGCAATATCATAGTCGCAATCATACTCTTGGTCTGAATATCAACATGGTGGACATTCAGAACAACAACGCTTGTATGTGTGTGATATTGCCTACTTAACAGTCAGACTAATGAAGGTATTATGAGAAGTATTTATTTTGTATGATAATAATGCTAGCTGCTTTTCTGTTTTAGACCCCTTCAGAACACAGAAACAGTTTTGTTGGTTTAATCTGCATCACCGTATGTGTCCACAGCTGGAGATGTTCTGTGAGGTGATGACCATGCAGCAGGCTGGATATGTCATGTTAATGGACTACCTGCAGAATAACTACAGAGAGCAGCAGGAACAATTTATGGGACAAGTCTTCTCATCCTACACTGGCATCGAGGAGGTCCATACTCCTAGTACGTACTTCACAAACACACTTACACGCATAAACAAACTAGGGTAGCATGTGTCTGGCAGCGTTCATTCTTAAGGTCTTAAAGCAGTCAGGCAGTTTGAGGGTCATGGATCCAATTAGCCTCCAACATGATTCTAATCCCAAACAACTGCTTCTCAATTAAATAAGGTTTCTATTTTTTATGACAAAGCCCTCCAGACATTTTCCTACTTTCTATTTATAATTATAGACAGACATTTGGCCCATTTTTAGCCAAACGCAATGCTTTCATGACCCTTTATGGATGATTCCCACTCATTTCTCGGGTGTTCTACTGTATGAATCATTACTAATAAACTGATGTAGGATATAAAAACAAAACAAACAAAAGGCTGTAGTTAATTCATTATTGAATTTTTAAGGATAAATATATAAAATTGTCACCCAAAAGGTTGTTGGAGGCAAATGGATTTTTGGTGCTTCTTTAGAACTTGATTTCTAGATTAATATAATAATTTAACCATTATTTAAGCTGCACAAGTTAAAAATGAACACTGTCTAAATGTCTAAATTATTCCAAATGAATATTTTACATTAATATATATATATATATATTTTTATATATATATATATATATATATATATGTATATATATATATATATATATATAATTTTTTTGTTAATATTTGATAAATAATATTGGTCATCGTACATCTTTAAAAATATAGGTGCACGGGACTGTAATGTGAAATTATGTCTAATGTGATTACAGATGACATTGTTGTTTAGTGTTTCACAAATCAATTACTCAGTCCGACCTTTTCATTTTAAAGAACCACTTGCAGATCCGAACTGTTTTGCTCTCAGACATTCCGCTTTAGCAGATCGTTGGTGGAACATCGATACCCCATTTCAGATTTCTCCGCTACAGGGTGAACTGGCACGTTTGGCACGTGGGAGTTGTTTTTAAAGGGGCCATCGGCAATGGAAAATGTCCCACTTGTGTCCTTTCAAACACAGATACGCTCCAACCTGTGTCTAAGCTTAAATCAGCGCCTGGGGAATGTCATTTACAACCTTAATGCTGCATTATTACTTTGTAAAGACTGACTGATTACTTGTGACTTAATTTAAACCTTGGGAAACGTGAAATGTGAGGGTGGAAATGTGCTGAAAAAGATTTCAGGGCCAAGATTTAAGATCATCAGTTTGGATTATTGATATTCTTTGTTGGATTTGCTGTTTCCTGTAAGTGTTTTACTCTCTCTCTCTCTCTCTCTCTCTCTCTATATATATATATATCATTCTGATGAGTGTTCACCACATACTGAGTGACTGGTGCAATCTCAGAATTACATAACAAGGGAATGCAATGCCAAATGTAGCCAGACAAACCAGATTTGCTTAACCTCTCCTTCACTGTGCTCACAGTATTAACAA